AGCCTCAGCCTCCCAATTACAGGCATGAGCTGCCACACCTGACCTGTCATTTCTTTGTATGTGGATAACATAAGGACTTTAAGATCCTTTCTCCTTTGGTTCAATCAATTATCTGCACTATACACATTTTACAAAACAAAGGACAATAGAGTCCTCACTCACATCCGGACATGTCACTCCCAGTGACTCCCATATTGCAAACCTCCCAGCAGGTGCAGCCCTTTCCTCTCCATCTGATGGGCTTCTCAGCTCCCATCACACTGACTGGATACAGAAGCAGCCCCCAAGAGCAGAAGACACGGATGACTCAGAAGTTCCTAAAAAGTCATCAAACCAGATGACACAAAACACAAATGACATTTCACTTTGTTTTGGTTTATTCTGTTTGAGACAAGAGGCCGTGGGGGTCCAACTAATCTTTTTTGAAACGTTTTGTAGAGATGGAGTTTGTCTCTGATGTCCAGGCTAGTCTTAAACTCCTGGACTCACGTGACCTTCCCACCTTAACCCCCAAAGCACTGACATTACAGGCCTGCACTGTATAATTTACCACGTGACACAGCCCAATAACAAAGAAGAAACCCCACAGTCCAGCGTCTACTCACATGGGTGAATTGATGGCTGGGAAACCCCAGGTGGAGCCAAAAATGCAGCCATGGCATCCAAATGTCCTGGTCCTCTTAGGGTGCCCTGAGGTGGCCAGGACAGAGGTGGGGGCGGCTTAAGGCTAGGGGAGGGAAGGGGGTGAGGATGGGGTGGGATCTGAGTTGGGGAGAGGGACAGAAGGGTAGGGGAAGGAGAGGAAGGGGGGATGTTGGGAACTTGGAGGAGGGGGTCTGGGAAAGGATTCAGTTCAAACTAAGTCTTCAAGGGCAAGTGGGATGTTCAGCTACAAGTCAGGGAGAAAGTCTATCATGGAAGCTACAGGACACGCAGAACAAGACAGCGGGAGGCTCGGGGGCAATTATAAGGAGACCAGGGCTCTGGTTTCCACCAAACCTTCTCCTGTCTGGGCGCTGCCTAAGCAACCCTTGGGCTTTATAATCCCTCTCCACCAATCCCCAGCCCCGGAACATGGTACCTCACAGTGGACATTCCACGGAGCACCCGCGTCCTCCAATGCCCCTACCCCATTTCATGTAGCCCAGGAAAGGCTCCTCAAAGCCAGGGTGAACCTCCCTTGAAGGCAGGTCCCTGATGGAGGCAGGTCCTGCACCTTAGGTTTGAAACTGGCTGTGCTGACCAGCTGTGACCCTGGGCTGGTTTCCTTCCACACAACAGGAGTGCCAGTGGCTGTGTCAAAGACCAGCTGAGGATAGGAGGAAGCAACCTGTTGAGCACCTGTGTATCGAGTGTCACCTCCCAAGGACATCTTTCCTTCCGGAGCTGGCACCTTGGAAGGTCCTTGGCCACTAAAGACAGTAAAGATAACAGCAGCAAATCATCATTTACGGCTGTTGAGGGAGGGCCGGGGGGTAGGGCTCTTAGGTCCTTGATAAGAATGAGGGTCTGGGGACTCCTGGGGACAGATGAGTGAGCCCTGTAGGTCTCCTGGGTCCCCAGGGGCGAGGTCTGTCTTCAGTGGCATTGGGCCTAGGCTGGGATGCTGGGGCAGCCACTAGAGCAACAGCAGGACAAACACAGAGGCAGTGGGTCCATCGGAGGTGGCAGGTGTCGGATCATCTGTCCACCTGGCCTGGCTGACCACTGCTTCCACAGATGATGCCCTGTCCCTTGCCTCACACTTTGACAGGGCAGCAGCTGGCACCTGGGGCCTCACAGAGCATCACACTAAGACCTCTGAGTCCTGGTCATTGAATAAGCACTTGAGTCACCCAAGGCCATTGGAACAAGGAGGAAGAATCAGGCCCCATGATGTTTTGCGACAGTGTTTAGCACAGGAAAGTGCACAGAATGCACGTACGACACAGGGGAACTGTTGGTGTGGGAGCCAATATTTTATGACCTCCAGCCCTAATCTGAGGACTCTCACCTGTGCAATCTGAAAGAAACAGGAGACTTGCAGGAAAGACAGTGCCTGGATTTAACTTGAAGGAACTAAAATGCTGAATGTTCATATTCCTGATATCCTTCCAAGTCAACTCTCTCAATGCTCCCATCTTCACCACTATCATATGGGGTAACTGGGGCAGTCAGAAATTTACTGACTCAGTGCCACCCAGTTGACTTCTGAGTTCACCGCTGATCACATATGAACAAACTGCTTTTCCTGAAATTTACCATTTGCTCATGCTGCTGCTGATTGTGTGCAGCTCTGGGACAAAGTCTACCTGGTAGAGGATAAAGCAAATCTGAGGTGACTCAGTCCTGCTGTCATTTCCCATCACTTCCCCGCTCTCCTCCTCTGCCCCTCCACAGTCTCCCGCACAGGCTGACACCGTATGGTGGCCCTATCAGAGTCCACCAAGTGTTCCAGGCTCTCCTCTGGGCCCCTGAAGCTGGAGGTCGTTATGGGATTTGCTTTGACTCAGGCAATGTGAGTGGAAGTGAAGTGTGTCACCTCGAGCCAAAGAGTTGGGAGGCATTGAGAATGGCCACCCTTTCCCTCATCTCTTAGAGCTGCTCACAGGTCCCATATAGAGGCGGCTCCCTTATTCTGGTGGCAGATGAGGGGATGTGGAGCACAGGGCCCAGGAGCGCCATGGAGGACATGCAGCATGAGCAGACAAACAGCCTTCAGTGCTGTAAATTTCCATTGTTTTGGGCTGTTTATTACCTATGGTGATACCTGGTCCATCCTAGCAGACAAGCACCGCCTACCCCACGCTCTGTGAAGCAGACCAGCCTACCGTCAGAACGTGAACTGGTTGTCAGGCACATGTAGGCTTCAGTTCCAGCTCTGCCTCTTATTAACTGCAACCTCAGGCATTTAACTTTCAGTCTCTGAGGCTCAGTTCCAACTCTCTAAAATGGGTTGGCTATATTATCTCAGGCAGTGGAGAACTAAATGAAATAAAAATGTATGTAGAGCACTGAGCCCAGGGCCTGGCACACATAGTGAGCACTCAACATTAGCCACGGAGCTTCAGAATACATGTTGATTGGCAATACCCAGACAACGCAGCAAAGTATTACAAGAAGAGAAAAGTAAACTGATTTGCATATGTATTCTTTCAATCTTTATTTTATTTTATTATTAATTTTTTTTGAGACGGAGTTTTGCTCTTGTTACCCAGGCTGGAGTGCAATGGCACGATCTCAGCTCACCGCAACCTCCACCTCCTGGGTTCAGGCAATTCTCCTGCCTCAGCCTCCCGAGTAGCTGGGACTACAGGCACGCGCCACCGTGCCAAGCTAATTTTTGTATTTTTAGTAGAGACGGGGTTTCACCATGTTGACCAGGAGGGTCTTGATCTCTTGACCTCGTGATCCACCCGCCTTGGCCTCCCAAAGTGCTGGGATTACAGGTGTTTTTAAACAGATAGGATAAAACTATGGGCCAGGCACAGTGGCTCACGCCTGCAATCCCAGCACTTTGGGAGGTCATGGTGGGCGGATCACAAAGTCAGGAGTTCAAGATCAGTCTGGCCAATATGGCGAAATCCTGTCTCTACTAAAAAATACAAAAGTTAGCCAGGAGTGGTGGTGTGTACCTGTAATGCCAGGTACTCAGGAGGCTGAGGCAGAAGAATCACTTGAACCCAGGGAGGCAGAAGTGGCAGTGAGCTGAGATCACAACACTGCACTTCAGCCTGAGTGACAAAGTGAGACTCTGTCTCAAAAAATAATAAACCAAGTGTATTCTTTCATAGCCAGTGTTTTTCTCTTAAATAGTATATCGTTAAAATATTTTTAGCTCAAAAACAAAAGAACATTTTTGAGACTATCATGTTAAATGACAAGTTAATGCTCAATTTAATGAGTAATTTAACTATTACTATTGGACTCTAAATTGCAAAGAGCATTCAAAACAAATGAAGTAGAATAAAAAATATGTATTACATGTTGTAAATATGACTTTGTTAAGTCTTTTATTCAGAAATATAGAACATATATATGTAATAGAGAATTTATTATGAATCATGTTTAAAAAAAACAGTTTAGAAGCTGCCCATTTGTTTCCTTTTCAAATTTTTCAGGATAATTTTTTTTTTTTGACAGTCTCGCTCTGTGCCCAGGTTGAAGTGCAGTGGCACAATCTCAGCTAATTGCAACCTCCACCTCCTGGGTCCAAGCAATTCTCCTGTCTCTGCATCCTGACTATCTGGGACTACAGGCATGCACCACCACGCCTGGCTAATTTTTGCATTTTTAGTAGAGACGAGGTTTCGCCATACTGGTCAGGCTGGTCTTGAACTCCTAACCTCAGGTGATCCACCCACCTCTGCCTCCCAACATGCTGGAATTACAGGCATGAGCCACCACACCCAGCCTAAATTTTGCAGGATAATAAGTAACCTTTAGGCTAAGCGCAGTGGCTAACCCCTGTAATCACAGACCTTTGGAGGATGAGGCAGGAGGATTGCCTGAGGTCAGGAGTTCAATACCAGCTTGGCTAACACAGCAAAACCCCGTCTCTACTAAAAATACAAAAACTTGCCAGGTGTGGTGGCACATGCTTATAGTTACAGCTACTCAGGAGGCTGAGACAGGAGAATTGCTTGAACCCAGGAGGCAGAGGTTGCAGTGAGCCAAGATCACACCACTGCACTCCAGCCTGGGCAAGAGAGCAAGACTCTGTCTCAAATAAATAAATCACCTTTGTAAGTATCGTTGGGCACTTGTCTGGTTGTTTTACTTTAGGTTAACATGCAGCAGTGATTCTTTCTGGGTTTCTGACACAAGATAGCAGTTCTTATCCAAATAAGTCAACTACTCTGCCCCATCCCCAAGACACTGGCATGGAAGGAAAAAGGAGGAAAAAGCCATAACTGTGTCTGCCTACGCTTCCCCCAGCATGGCCGCCTGTGAGATGTGGAGCAGCCGAGACCTAGGAACTGTTCAAGGGCGCCAGGCCCCATCTGCCTGCACGCACTCACCTTCCTCAGGTGCTCGCATGCGGGATGGCACTGACATTACGTGCTGCTGCTGCAGCTGACCCTGGTCATGGGACAGAAACTGTGGGGTCAGGACAATGGAGGCCTTCACCACCTGCAGAATGGGAACAGAAGCTCATGATGAGTGCTAACCTATTAGATAATTTTTTTTAAAAAGTTTGTGGAGTGAGTGGAAAAACAAGGTGATGCTTGAGTCTATGGTGGTCAGGAGCATGGGGGCCTCAGAAAAGGTCAGAACCAAGTTCAAACTCCTGCACTTTGGATTTCTACTTCATGCCACGCAAAATTACTTTACCCCTCTTCACCTCAGTTTCCTTCTGCACGAAATGGGAATAATAAATTTCATTCCTCATTCAGTTCCTGTCAAGAATTCATGATATATATCTCTAAAACATCCAACTCATTTAAATGTATCGTCATTTCTGTCATAATTAGTGGGATCAATTTCACTATTATTGTATATACAGTTCTGTGTCTGAAACCTACAAAAAAAATCTTACCTCTAAAAAGTATCAGTGACTTGTCATTTTCATATTAATCATAACCGTATTTGATCACACAAAGCCTTGTACATGGCAGGTGCTCAGTAAACACTTGTGGAATCAATGCATGTGGCCTCTGCAGCCACACTGTTTAGGTCCGATTCGGCCTCCACCACTTATGAGCTGAGTGATCTGAGCAAGATAATTCACCTCTTTATGTCTCTGTTTCCTTCGCTATAAAATACAGATAATTGGCTGGGCACGGTGGCTCATGCCTATAATCCCAGCACGTTGGGAGGCTGAGGCGGGTAGATCATGAGGTCAAGAGATCGAGACCATCCTGGTCAACATCGTGAAACCCTGTCTCCACTGAGAAAAAACAACAACAAAAATTAGCTGGGCATGGTGGCACATGCCTGTACTCCCAGCTACTCAGGAGGCTGAGACAGGAGAGAATTGCTTGAACCCAGGAGACAGAGGTTGCAGTGAGCCGAGATGGCACCATTGCACTCCAGCCTGGGTAACAAGAGCGAAACTCCGTCTCAAAAAAATAGAATAAAATACAGATAATAAGAATCCCTAGCTCCTTACGTTGTTGCCAGGGATGAATAATTTGGCACATGGTAGGGGCTTTTTAAACATTAGCTGTGATGATCTCCTTCCAAAGCTTCCTTTTCAGAGCCACAGATGAGGCCACAGTGCCACCTGCTGACCCTAGAGTGTAAGTACACACGATCGTCAATACGCTCTCTCTCCACCACAGGTCCCACACTGGCTAGCCTAAAGGTTTCTCAGGGCTCAGGTAAAGACTTTTGTATTTTCCTCCTCGCATTCCTGCAGATGGGGTTCATGTTGTCCGACACAGCTGGGTGATCCACAGAGCAACGAGTGCCTATGCCAGCCCTGTGAGGTAGCTGGAGAATGTTCTTCCGTCTCAAGCTCTGGGCAGATGCCAGGGCTGGGGTGATCCATGCCCTCAAGTTTCTTGCTTCGAAGGGTCACATTTTCTATTGGCAAGGAAGGCAAAGGTCACAGGAAGCCAGAGACCTGGGACCTCTCTGTGCCATGGGCCCAAACAATAAAGACACTATGCTGAAAGCCCAAGGCTTGGGTGCTCCCCAGGACTTCTAGCCTCATGGCCTCTGCTGAGGGAGGATGAATACTATGTCCTCCCAGAGCTTCGGGAGCTTGAAGCAAGCAGCCTCCCCAGCACAAAATCTCTTGGAAACCTCAAACTGTCTCTAAAACATTCGTGCACATTTTGCATCCTATTTCCGGTATGTCCATGTTTTAGAAAAAAACCTCAATTTCCTAAATATGCAAGAGAAATAGTTATTGTAGCACAATGTGGCTTTTTAAAACATACTGTTATTTAGGCCGGGGATGGTGACGCATGCCTGTAATCCCAGCACTTTGGGAGGGTGAGGTGGACGGATCACCCGAGGTTGGGAGTTCAAGACCAGCCTGACCAACAAGGAGAAACCCCATGTCTACTAAAAACACAAAGCCAGGTGTGGTGGAGCATCCCTGTAATCCCAGCTACTTGGGAGGCTGAGGCAGGATAATCACTTAAACCTGGAAGGCAGAGGTTGTGGGAGCCAGGATTGCATCATTGCACTCCAACCTGGGAAAGAAAAGCAAAACTCTGCCTCAAAAAAAAAGAAAAAAAAAAAAATATATATATATATACACACACACACACACACACACACGTATATATATTTATTACTTATACATATTAAATATATATTTATATACATATATATAGATGTGTGTGCGTATATATATAATATATTTATTTATTTAAAAATCTTCCCCACCCCCTTTCTGAATGCCAAGAATGATAAATATTTGTTCAACAAATATCATTAAATGCCTACTATGGGCCAGGTGCAGTGGCTCACATTTGTAATCCCAACACTTTGGGAGGCCAAGGCAGGTGAATCACTTGAGGCAAGAGTTTGAGACCAGCCTGGCCAACATGGTGAAACCCCATCACTACTAAAAGTAAAAATTAGCCAGGCGTGGTAGTGCACACCTGTAATCCTCAGCTACTAGGGAGGCTGAGGCAGAAGCCACTGCACTCCAGCCTGGACAACAGAGTGAGTCTCCATCTCTAAATAAATAAATTAATCAATCAATTAAATCAAATAAGTACATAAATGCCTACTATATGCCAGCCATGATTCATGGTCTTGAGCTATAGCAGAAAACAAACTGACAGGGTTCCTCTCTCCTGTAACTTACATTCTTCTATGATAATGATAAGGGTTAACATTAATTAAGCTGTTACTACATGGTAGTTTCAGTGCAAAGTCATTCCCACTCATTATTACACTTAAACCTGCTAGCAAGCTTACATAGGACACAGTTATTTTTCCCTGAAAAACTGAGTCTTGGACAGGCACGGTGGCTCACGCTTGTAATCCCAGCACTTTGGGGGGCCGAGGCAGGTGGATCACCTGAGGTCAGGAGTTCGAGACCAGCCTGGCCAACATGGTGAAACCCGATCTCTACTAAAAACACAAAAAATTGACGGGTGTAGTAATGGGTGCCTGTAATCCCAGGGCTCCTGTGGTTGAGGCAGGAGAATCACTTGAACCGAGGAGAAGGAGGTTGCAGTGAGCCAAGATTGCGCCATTACACTCCAGCCTGGGTGACAAGAGCAAAACTCCATCTCACCACAAACAAACAAACAAACAACAACAAAAATCTAAGTTTCAGAATGATGAAGCACTTTGTCCAAGGTGACACAGCTGGTGAGTGCTGAGACCTCACAGCCAATCAAAGCCCATCTCCTCATCGTGACACAGCTGGTAAGTGCTGAGACCTAGTAGCCAATCAAAGCCCATCTCCTCAACGTGACACAGCTGGTAAGTGCTGAGACCTTGCAGCCAATCAAAGCCCATCTCATCAATGTGACACAGCAGCTGAGTGCTGAGACCTCACAGCCAATCAAAGCACATCTCATCAACGTGACACAGCTGGTAAGTGCTGAGACCTCGCAGCCAATCAAAGTCCATCTCATCAAGGTGACACAGCTGGTAAGTGCTGAGACCTCGCAGCCAATCAAAGCCCATTTCATCAACGTGACACAGCAGCTGAGTGCTGAGACCTCACAGCCAATCAAAGCCCATCTCATCAACGTGACACAGCTGGTAAGTGCTGAGACCTCGCAGCCAATCAAAGTCCGTCTCATCAACGTGACACAGCTGGTAAGTGCTGAGACCTCGCAGCCAATCAAAGTCCATCTCATCAACGTGACACAGCAGCTGAGTGCTGAGACCTCACAGCCAATCAAAGCCCATCTCATCAACGTGACACAGCTGGTAAGTGCTGAGACCTCGCAGCCAATCAAAGCCTGTCTCATGCTAAAGGCCATGCTATGTGTTCTCTAGCCCATGAAGAATAATTTTAACACAATCGATGACATTTCTACACAACGATATTCTTGTCTCAAGTCCAAGAGTGCCTCCTATACCACCTATAATAATGGCTTTCTGGTCAGTAAAGATGCCATTCTAATGTGTAATCAGGTGGCAAATGGAGACATGGCTGACGTCATCATGTGTGTACACCCATAACCCTCTATACACTCATCCTGTTCGATTAAATTCAAGTATTTTTTTTTTTTTATTGAGCAAAACTGAGCTTTAAAGGGCTGAAGGTTTTTTCGTTTGGTTTTGAGACTGAGTCTCTCTCTGTTGCCTAGGTTGGAGCGCAGTGGCATGATCTCGGCTCACTGCAACCTCTGCCTCCCAGATTCAAGCGATCCTCGTGACTCAGTCTTCCTAGTGGCTGGGATTACAGGCATGTGCCACCATGCCTGGTTAATTTTTGTATTTTTAGTAGAGATGGGGTTTTGCCATGTTGAACGGGCTGATCTCGAACTCCTGACCTCAGGTGATCCATCTGCCTTGGCCTCCCAAAGTGCTGGGATTACAGGCATGAGCCACTGCACCAGGCCTAAAGGATTAAGGTTTTTATATCCATGTAACTTTCTGTATTGCTTTTGAAGTCTGGTTAAATTAATATTCTTTATTTATTTTTGAGACTGAGTCTTGCTCTGTTACCCAGGCTGAAGTGCAGTGGCACAATCTCGGTTCATTAAAACCTCCACCTCCTGGGTTCAAGTGATTCTCCTGCCTCAGCCTCCTGAGTAGCTGGGACTACAGATACGTGTCACCATGCCCAGCTAATTTTTTGTATTTTTAGTAGAGACGAGGTTTCACCATGTTAGCCAAAATGGTCTCGATCTCCTGACCTCGTGATCCACCCGTGTTCTCCAAAAGTGCTGGGGTTACAGGCATCAGCCACTGTGCCCTGTCTGAATATTCTTTTAAAAGTGACCTGTGATTCTCTTCTGATCAAGTGTTTTCAAACTTGTTATCTTTGATGGGTTTCACCAGCATCGAAATCCCAAATCAAGTATTTTTGGTTTAAAATTAACTTTGGGTCAGCTGGATCCCTCGGGGAGTCTAAAGAATATATCTCTGGTCTTGTAGGGATATTAAATGACTAGATTTATCTGGCAGGTTGTATGGGTGGGCATTGTCAAATGTGGTGATACTGCATGGGAGGGCACTGTCAGAGGAGGTGACAGTAGATCTCA